TTGAGAAAGAAAATTTCCTCAGAAAAAACTACCAGCTATAAAATGCTGCCAAAGGCATTAAATAAGCAATAACAATGATTTATAAGAGGAGAAATGAAAAAAAAGAAACATGGAATAGTGGGCTCGTTTAAATTTCACATTCGCTGACAATAACGCCTTCATAATCCTCTTCCAATCGGCTTGGGAAATGTTATCAACTGAAAATTAGACCCTTTTATGCTTAAAATCACAAAAAATTACTTTTGATCTTGCGATCAAACTGGTTGATCAAAACCTATATTATAGCAGAAGATCAGTATCTAGTTGGTAACTTCTAGAGCATGAAAACGGACTAGTACTTCTCAAGTACGTAACTCTAAAGTTCTAACTTCTAGAAACAACGAAAACATTTGAATTTGATAGCCAACCTTTTGAAAATGCTGCCAACATGTAATCAGCCCATGCAACAAGTTGTCTTTCCTTAGACTTACGTAATGAAACCTCATTTAATGCAAGAAGTATCTAAAATATATTCTTTGACACTAATCGGAAAGTATTTACTCCACTAGGCATTGAAATTTTTAACCTTCGGAATTCTGATGACACTTCTTTCAGTATAATAAAAGTACTTTGATTTTAACACAAACATCCTAAAACCACAGCAAAAAGATACTCCTATGAGGAACAGCCTTTCAGCACGATACAAAGCAGTAATCAAAATATCTGAAAAACCTATCTAAAGAAGTACCCCTGAATAAACTAACAGCACAGCTCATGAACAAACAGATGCATATCTAGAAAAACAAAAATTACAGAACGGCATTCTTAGATTTGAAACCGCATTCTCTTTGGTTCAACGCAAAAAGAAAATTTCTACTGTCATTTTACCACAGCAATATTTTTTAGTTCTTCGATACAGCACGACTAATCAAACAAACGAGAACGCATCATACTTTTGTTTTTTTCAGTATCACACTCTACAGTAAATCAAAAAATTTACTCATTTTTTAAAACTTAAATAAAAAAATTAAAGGATTCCATGCTGGACCAGTTACTTTAGTTTTGAAAGACAAAGAAATATTGCTCCAGGAATTCAGAACACATTGAAACACGCTTGATTTTTTTTACCAAAAAATAAATTTTATATAGGTTCGAGGAAACAGTAAGGTATAAGAAGACTCATAAATAGATGAGATCAGGAACTAAAAGATTACCAATTCTGGTTGACGTCGGACCCACTCAAACAAAAAATGGCAAAACATTCTGTCACGATATCAATTCAGAGAACTGGGCGCATAAAAATAAGTTTAACCGCAGAAGCTAACGTTTTCAAAAATGAGCTCTAGAACGTGTCAAGCACGTAACAGAGTTTCATGCTCGTCAAGTTTTAGGTATTATTTTTGACAGGAATGAAGAAACCGGTGTACTTTTTTTAGGAGCTCATTTAGACTGGTGGCCCCACTTTTTTTCTTCGCCCAGGTGGCAGGGTTTCTTTGGGAACCCTGCCCACCGGGGCGGAGATGGAACCACCAGCCCAAGCAAGGCGCTAGCGAGTAGCACCTTGCTTGAGCTAGCAGCGAGCGAGCAACATATAGTTGCTGTGCCTACCGACATGTAGCATGGTTAAAATATGTTCCCTAAACGATTCCTTTTATAAATATGACCGTTCAGTTGTCGACGGGTTTGCGCCGGAAGCTACAGTGGCTCAGAAGTTGACAAC